CCTCTGGTGGCATCCCTCCTGTGGCGGTAGGTTGTGATAAAGGTGGCCTGTTCACTCCTGTTACTAGACCTGCGCCTAGAGGTGGGAAGAGAAAGAAAAACAAGAAGTGCCGGGTCAAACAAGACCAGACCTCACCTGTGCTACTTGTCTCTGACTTGGAAGGGTCATCGCCTTCGCTAGTTCACTACCGCAAACTGGCTACTACAGAGTTCGCAGTGGGTACACCACCTGTGGAAGGAGCTGAGGAGTTAGAGGATCAGTTGAATACTTGGGCTTGTTCAGTCAAGTGCCAGTGGCTTGGGGACTATCTCATTCTGGCTACTTCCGTTGAAGTTTTTGGGCTGCACTGCCGGTACAGTGCCTCTCTGATTCTCTATGACAGTTCGTACCCCCTCAGATAGGAAATCTTTTGCCCTGTAAGTCGGCTTTCCCTCAAGTCTACTCGCTTGGGAGTCAGGTGTTTCTTTTGTTTGGGAATGGGGACAGGCGCTGGGGTGGTCAGCAGGGTGTCCCAGGATCATTGAGTGGGGGCACTCAAGAGGATTTCTACTGTAGAGGAGGTTTTTGCGGAGCCATATTCAGGTAGCGGTAGTGGAATTTTTGTATTTTGTACGAGTAACTTGGCTGGTAGGTAGGCCGGACTGGGGAGGAGTATTCTTTACTATTGATGGCTTTGTATTTAGTGTTCGTAGTAGGGTATGGCGTGAGCATATTTGAGATACGGGTTTGGAGGTTTAGTTAGTTCGTAGTTAGTGGTATCCGAGATATGACAACCTGGGGGCCCAGCCTTGGGGCTCCTCGTATGCCAGTGTTGACGGTACGAGTTTAAATAAAATTAGATTGAATTCTAAGTACTTTTCCTACTTATTACTTTAACAAATATAAAACACCTTCACGATCTTTATCTTTATTGCAACATTATTGTTACGCCAAGGAAAGCTCTTCACAAAGAAGAGTTAGAAAAAGCTTACGATAGGCGTTCCTGGTAGAAGATAGAGGTCTTGTACTATCGGTAACGTAGGCAGAGGCCTAGTGCTATCGTAAGACTAAGGAAAGAAACAGAAGAAGAGAATTATCATTCCCCATCGCCAAGAACTAACTATCCAAGGAGGGATCGTTACATACTACCTATATGTATTTCCTTTGTTTGTGTTATTTTGTTTGGGGAACAGATAGCAGGTACAGGCCCGCCTCACCGGTATGTTCTTCAGAGGTAACTGGCAAAGTGAGTTCATAGGGTTGATGGCCTGGCACGCGGGTACGAGAGGTAGACATGTTAGTAACATACTCCCTGCTATTGTGTCGCCTGTAAGCTTAGTTCATTATTGGTTTTCTACTGTGGTAGAGGTTATTGTGGGACAGCATTTAGGCTGGGAGGCGAGGAACCTAGTTGAGTTGGTCTTTTGCTCAGCTTTGCCTATAATTAGTACTAGTTGGCTTCATACCAGAGAGACTATGGACTTGGACTAGGGCAGGTACTGGGTTGTTTGATGGTCCTGTAATTAGTTCTCGTGTAGGCATGACTCGGGAATGGTAGGTACGGAGCAGTAAACTTAGTTAGCTTGAGATTAGTAGTATACCAGTTAGCGGTATCCCTGTGCCAGCGGGGACTTGTTGTATGCCAGTGTTGGCGGCACAAGTTTAAATAAAATTAGATTGACTTCTAAGTACTTTTCTTACTTATTGCTTTAACAAATATAAAATACCTTTACCCTCTTTATTATTATCACGACCTTTATTACTACTACGACAAAAATACTCTTCTGAGAGAAGAGTTAGAGAAAGCTTACGATAGGCATTCCCGATAGAAGTCAAAGGTCTTGTACTATTAGTAATATAGGCATAGGCCTAGTGCTATGGTAAGGTGAAGTAGAAGAGAAGTATCGTTTCCTATCACTAAGAACTAACTATCTGAAGAAAGATCGTTATACCATAGTACTTGTGCTCGCATCTATCACTGCTACTAGGAAACAGGTAGTACTTCCAACTACCAGTAAACAGAAAGACCTCTAATCTTCCAAGAGTCTGATTTCGATGATCTGAAGTTGATTATTAAAGAAAATCGAAGAAATAAAAGACTATCTTGGAAAGATATTAAAGAAGTAAAGGGATTGAAGGTCTCATCTAAGACAATCAGGAAGGCAGCTAAGAGTATTAATTTAAATAAAAGAAAAACTCACAAGAAGTAAGTTTTCTAATAAAAATTTATATTTTTACAAAGTTAAAATATATTTTAGATGGAATTTGGACCCTAAAAATATATCAATTAGATTTGGTTAGTGTATGAGAAAAAGAGCTTGGAAATTGAGAGAGTGGTCTAGAATCATATAGATAGATGAAACTTCTTTCTCTATAGCTGGATTTGGACAGAGAGGATGGGTGATGAGAGAGCCTACCGAGAAGTATGATCAGGATTGTCTGAATGAGGTCTGGGAGTCAGGAAAAGATACTGTTATAGTATAGGGAGCCTTTCATGGAAATTTGAGGTCAAAGTTAGTAGTAGTGCCAGGAAAGGTTAAAGTAGATTCTTGTAAGTATACTAAGTGTATACTAGATCTAGTTTTAATTCCTTTCTGGTATGAGGGTTGTAAGAGATTTGGTTGGACAAAGGTTGTTGAAGATAGTGCACCAGGGTATCAAAAGTAAGTTCTATCTTCTTTCATATATCTTATAATTATTTTATTTTCTGTCTTATTATTATAGAACTACTTACTTAAGAATATAATCTAACTACTAATTTAATTACAGATTTTCTACAAAGTGTAGAGAGAAAAATAAGGTAGATATATTGCCTTAGCCACTCCAGTCTCCAGATCTGAACTTGATTGAGAATATCTGGGGAGATATGGAGACTTACTTGGGGAAAAGGTATGAAAGAGTTGCAAGTAGAGACAAGCTAATCAGAGCTGTGAAGGAAGCTTGTGAAGCTATTTCTAATGGAAGGTTTATGGGTCTTTGCAGGAGTATGTCAAAAAGGATCAGAGAGGTTATTAGAAGAAAAGGGCACCAAACTCATTATTGATTTAGGGTTTTCTTTTTATTTTACTTCAAGAGAATACTGAGGACTATTTTATTTTATCTCCTTCACTTATTTTATTTATTAAATGTTATTGTAGAATGAGGTAATACTATACGTTGTTGAGAATATTGATATACAGAAATTTGTGTTGTACAAGTGTCACATTACTTTTTTCCACCTCCTGTACAGCTTTGGCCAGCTCCTGCAAATTACATTGATAGACTGAAGCTTCACTAATTAGTCAAATTAAATTGCATCTAACAACTCACCATCCACAACTTCCTAGCCACATCTTGATGTGAGAAATGGCTATATATTCTATGAACCACAATAGCGATTCCCTTTTCATAAGGCCTTCATCCTAACTGTTGGCAGATTTCATCAAAACTCACTCAATCAAGAAATACAGAGTGTAGGGCCTGGCATCAGTTAACCAGAAAAAGCTGTACTATGATAATATTATTATGATAATAATAATATTATGATAGTACTAGTACAAGTATGATACTAAGGTACTTGTCACAGGTAAGAAGTACCCGCAAACAGGGGGGGTAAAATGGCATTAGTGCAGGAGTATTTGGGAGGTCTGTGTATATAAAGAAAAACTTCCAATTTCCGTATCTGAAGAGTAACTTTCCCAACTTTCTCCTGATATCATGACCAAGAAAACAGGTGAAAATGCTCAAAAATCTCTATTATATACAAAATTAACATTAATTACTAGAAAATGCTACCTATTAAAACCAAAGAAGCCTCATACAAGACTAGGTGCCAGGTCCAGGCACTGCGATTTAGCGCAGGCTGGACCTATGCCCGTATTGTCGAAAATTAAAACCTAGCCATTAGTATGATAAGGAATATCTGCAACTCACCCACAATACCGATAAAGAGAAAGGTAGACCTTTCTCTATCTACTCACCAACTCGCAGGCACCTGGTCACTACAGCAACACAGGATGCTGCCTACTGCTAAATATCATTCTATGAAATTGCTGAACTCTGTGGAGTTCATGCAAGTGAACAAACACTGTGGAAAGTATTCACCCTCAAGGACTATAAATGGCACAAGGTCTAAAAGAAGGTAGTTTTGATCAATGCAGCTAAGGCAAAGCGTCTTCGCTTTGTCTTAGCTCATCAACACTGGGAGGTAGAGGAGTAGTAAAAGGTTATTTGGACTGATGAGTCCTATGTTTGTATTGTCTGATTCTCGGGGTACGGTTTGGATTACTTAGCAGCTGGGGAGGAATATCATGAGTCTTCCATCACTCCTAAATTCAAAAAAAAAAAAAACGCGATTATAATTTGAGGTGGGATACTTGGGAGGCAGAGGACACCACTAGTTTTATGGCAGCAGGATAACTGGGGGCCTATCACTGCTTGCAGCTATATGGAGCATATTTTGGTTCCTGTCCTATGGCCATTTTGGTATTATGAGAGCCATAGGAGGGGTGAATCTCTCAGGGTGATAGAGGACAGCGCATCAGCTCATTACACTATCTATACTCAAGCATTTCAGCAACTACACCATATGCTGAAAATGGATTGACCTCCCTCCTCCCTGGACCTTAATCCAATAGAAGATATTTGGAACCTTCTAAAGGATAATATTAATGTCTGCCAACCACGCCCTAGGGGGAAGGATGAGATGGCAATTGCTATTCAAGAGGAGTGAGATAGGATTCTGACAGCGGACATTTTGGGCTTCATTGATATGATACCACAGCAGATTGCTGCCATAATTGCAGCCAATAGGGGCCATACTGCAGGGTAGATTCATTATAATGTTTATTGTTTATTGTTTAATGTTTAATATTTAATTTTCAACCTTTAATCTCTAATTTTAATGTTTTTTTCTACACTTCTAAGTCTACAAAATCTACAATATCATGGAATTCGTGATTGTTTACAATATTTTTAGCTCTTATCCAGGTTCTAAAGGGCCAATTATAACCACTGTTTTCCCCATCCCCCTTCCCTATACCCCTGCACCAACACCATTTTACCCCCCCTGTTTGCGGGTACTTCTTGCCTGGGACAAGTAGTACGTACCCTTAGGATGCCGGTAGCCGGGACTGTGTGGCGCCGCCGACCAATGCGATGCAGAAAAAAAACAAAAACAAATTTTAACTCGCGATCAGCTTGTGCCGAGCTCCCAGTTAATCCCGTATTATCACCCTTCCCCGTACCTTTCACTTCTTCCTCCCATCTGTATCCGATCCTCCTCAATCACGAAAACGCCAAACATGGATATTCATGACCCTCCACGCTGGCTTTCTATCACCGGTCAACCACTCCCTAACCTTGAGTTTCCAAATGGTATCACGGGCATGTTTCCCTTTTTCCGCCCCTGAACATCATCCACACAGCTAACTGCTTGAAAGGAAAATGTCGCGACATCAAAGAGTTCGAGAGACTGAACCAACTAGGGGAAGGAAGTTTGTTTCACCGCATTCCCAGCGTTGGTTTACTATAATTCATAACATTAACCAGCTCTTAAATTAAACAGCCTACGGGGTAGTACATCGAGCTCGAGACCACGGACCCGATAGAAAAAAAAGCATTGTTGCTCTCAAACAAGTTCGAATTTTTGATTCTGACCGTGGAAACGGCATTCCAATTACCGCTCTACGTGAGATCTCCATCTTGAAATCCCTCCGACATCCCAACGTCGTCAATGTTCTGGATGTTGCTGTGGGCGTTGAATTCGACGAGATATACATGGTCATGGAATACGCGGAACAGGTTGGTGGAAACTTTTTTTCCTTTGGAATTTTTACTTGACGGACAATTGGCGCACCTCGGCTGGCTTATGGATTCCTTCGTTCGAATGGACGATGGAGTTTTGTGCTTGCGTTTCGGTTATTCTAGGATTTGGCAAACCTTCTCGATCACGCGAGAGTTAAATACTCTGAGAGTGAAGGTATGCACCTCTTTCCATAATTTCTTTCTCACAAGTGGCGATCACACGATTGACTGTCATGTAGTGAAATGTCTTATGAAGCAATTGGTGGAAGGACTAGAATACTTGCATCGGCACAATATCATTCATCGGTACTTCCCTTCAAAAAAGCCTTCGACCAAATTCATGCTAACCTAGACACTACAGGGATATCAAAATGTCTAATCTTCTACTCACAGCTCATGGCATCTTGAAGATTGGTAGGTTCGCTCAAAATCCACCTAGGAACGACAAGTTAACTCGTACAGCTGATTTTGGCATGGCACGCGAGTATTCCCCCCGTCCCCTGACTCCCGGTGTGGTTACAGTTTGGTACCGAGCACCCGAGCTCCTTCTATCCGCCAACCGTTACAATCCCTCCGTAGACATCTGGTCGGCCGGCTGTATCATGGGGGAATTGATACTCCAGATGCCACTTCTCCCTGGCGAAACCGAGACCGAGCAATTCTCTCTTATCGTCAAACTCATCGGTTCGCCCAGCGATAAAATCTGGCCCAAGAGGCGTCTCCTCCCTGGTATCTACGAAAAAAGTGCTGGTAGCCGAGGTAGATATTACGATCCACCCATCGGGGCCCAGAGCGAGAACATGCTGGAGAGACGCCTAAAGGGTCAAACAAAGGAGACAATCAGACTGATCAACGAGATGTTGACCTACGACCCTGATCGGAGGATCACAGCTAGTGAAGCTTTGAGACATAAGTACTTCACCAGGGAAATGCCACCCGCCCAGAGGCCAGAGTTGATACAGACCTTCCCGGAGATCCGCAACGAGCGTAGCGACGATGGCAGTCATCATGCTCGTGGTGGTGAGGGTTTGGGCAAGAGAAAGACAAAGGATGCAGGTGGTTCCTACGTATTTGACTTTCCCGATAACGGATTTGCCGAGAGTCTCGATGGTGGAAAAAAACGGAGGCGGAATAGGGATAAGGGAGAGTAAATCCTTTCTCTTGTCGCGATTACCTTAGAAATAGTGGCTTTTTTTCCCTTACTACATTTTCACATCTCTCCTCTCTAGATTGTGTACTGTACAATGCTTTGTGTACCGGTACTAGATGTGATAACCAGCATTTCTATTTCTAGTATAGGGTATGATACTTGACAGGTTGCCGAGCATGACAGGGTTCCGAGTACCACCATCACCCCCGGTGAAGATATCATACCGTGTACGGTATTTAACCTGAATGAAGTTGCGGACTCATTTGCACTGCTCCCTGCCCTACCCTACTCCTGCCCTACTCAACACCCTACCAACTAGTCTATAGCTCTCAGTCCCTGCTTACGCAGCGCACAAGCGGATTTCGTTTTTATTTTTCGTTTCTGCCCCTTTCCCCGCTTCTCCGACTTGCATAGAACTAGCACTATGTATTGATGCTTTATTATTCAAACCTCACAAAACAACTCTTGCGTCTACATTATTTCAACAGTCGTAAGTCATATCATATCGGCAGATCGAATGAGAAAGCCAAAACCAACACCAACCAACCAACCAACCACGAGCCTGGAAAAGAGAAAACTCCCGGGTATACTTTATCTCTCCACCTTTACTTCAAAAGTTCATATCCTCCTTCCGGCGGCATAACCCATCCAGCAATACTCACAAACCCAGCAATAACAAGCATAATACTCCAAGAAACCGTTGTCATGACCCAACTCAAATCCAACTTCCACCCAACAAAGAACCTATCATCATAATCATAAAGATACGCCACAAGCGCCACAGCACCGCATTGTGTCATAGCTGCCCAATCGCTCGAACATCAGCCCAAATCTCCTTCTCCCACATCACATCCACATCGGTGAGGGGAAAGGAAATACAAACCACAAATAAGTACTAGCCCAACCAAAACCTTCCACCCATTCTCCCTCTTCACTCGCCCGCCCATGAGAATCGCTGCAAATGCAGTTATTATAGCGCCCTCGAGGACAAGTGCGAAGCTCATCAAGAACGCTATTGAACGCCACATGGAACAGAAATAGCGATCGTGCCCGTGGCAGTCCGAGTATGTCGGGAAGCGCTCGCAGCTACCGGTCAGGCTAGAGCAGCGCTTATGGAGGCCATAGTGGTAGGTTATCGGGCCGGCTTTCTGTGAAATGGGTCGTTAGTAAGACAGGGGGGTGGAGGGAGGAAGAACGTACTGTTACTTCGACGTGGGAGGCCCACCGAGGGATGATTATTGAGGTTAGAGTTAGGATGGAAACTGAGGAGATATTGAGTTAGAGAGGTGTTTGGAGTGCCTTTTCTTCTTCTCGAGATGTGGAGTTGTGAAGGAGGGTAGGTTTGTCTGCAGAGAATAGGCAGATATATCTCCACTCCCTCCCTTCCTGCAGTTAGGAGTTGATGCTGTGTTTGACCGAAATTGAAAGTCCGCAACTAATGACGTAACATACCTGCCACAAATGCTGCGAGTGACGCGCCGTAAATAATCTTCCTTGTCATGACTTCTTGGATTGTTGTCCCTTCTTCTCCTGATATTGCGGTCTGTTCTCTCACTCTCAAAGAGGAACTCTTGACTGAAGAGAGGGGAGGAGAAGTCGAAGATTAAGAGGGAGAGAAGAACAAGGCGGAAATTTTTGTTATCGGCAAAGTGAGGGGGTCAGTCGTTCAGTTTAAAAACAAAATCCCGATAACCCACCAACAGGCTCGATTCCCGAACCCCACAACCAAACACGGACCGTTCTACAACACCGCACTCTAGATTCTCCGGGTGGAGAGGAGAAGTTTTGGTGGGGTGGTGTGCTAAAAAGATATATAACCGCTCGCCGGTATTGAAATTTGGGGGTCGTTAGGTGGTGAAGTGGGTGGAAGGGGGTTTTGTTACGTTGCCCGAGCAGTAGTCGCCTGTATGAGCACTGCGCAAGAGGACGGTGAGGGTGAGGAGGAAAAAGGCCTTCCTTCTCCCATTCAATTGTCCGGGGGAAAGAACGGTATCAATTGGGGGATCGATTTGTCCAAGCACCGTGCTCCAGTACAGTACGTAACTGATTTTAGTCGACTGTTAACAGCCCGACGGATAGTCATCGGTATTGTTATCTGGCAGCTCGAACGGATGGGATAGGGGATGCTCGAGAGAGCCGGGCCTGCGGCTGAGAAAACAGGAATTTCTCATTACTCTGCAGGGATTTTTTTTTTTTCCACCTCCATATTCGCCTGCGAGAGCCGATATGGTGTTGGCGGAGCAATCCCCATCTCAATCTTGAGAGCTACGGTCCCTAGAAAACAGGAGAAACCAGTGCCAGTATTCCTTAACGAAGTGTCGTGACTACAAATAAACTATCGTATCACATCGTTAAAGCGATCGTCGGCAAGGCGTTTTAGGAGGAATGATCATGCCCTCGATCAAGACATCGGTACTTATGGTATCACACAGCAGAAAAACCTTAACCCGCGTATCAGTACCAGGAAAGGAAACGTTTTCGTTTGGTCTTATCTTTTGGCTCTTGCGCTGCGCACCACCGTCTGGGGCGAGCATCGGGCATGTCCACGCTTATGCACGAGAGCCGGTACGATATGATACCGTACGATACATTGCCACCGATACGCTACCAGCACTACAACAAGCAAGAGTGCCACCAAGTTCATCACCTATTATCACTCGAAATCATCAAAGAACAATACCTATATTTTCGTCAGCCATAGGATTGCCGGGGGTCAATAACACACCTGCTTACCCAGAACATGGCATTTTATGAGTACCGGCGGTCTTGGGGCCAAGGGGGGGGATAGTCCGGAGGCCCCGCACACATCTGAACGGCCCAGAGCATCAGCAGAAGCCCTCGCAAATAAGGAAAACCCAAACCGACCCGGGCATTCCGAAAACGCTTCCTCACGACTTCAAAGCATCAGGTCACCAGAAGGACTTGCATAGGCTACAGGGAAATCCGTCTTCTTGGACCGCCAATTCTCCGCGGACACCACGGTACCGGTATCGTATTTGATCTTACCGCTACCGGTAGTCGAGACGGGGGTTGCGCCATAGCCGTCGCTAGCCTTTCGGCATCTCTTGGCATTTGTAACCCCTCTATTTTTCCCCTCCACACCTTCCTCGAGCTTTGTAGCCCCCTTCCCCACATGATTCTTCGCCCCTCATCCGCTCTTCTTGGTAAATATTTTATCAAGTCCTCACTTCCCCATACATCCTTCCAACACTCTCCCTTACGACTTATTGGCCAGAAGTTCGCTAGGCTGCAGTTCCATACCCAAACTATAGACTACTTTTCTGAGAGAGCAAGCATGGCTCCGCAACTTGACGGTTACTTTAAGCAGTGAGTATACCTTTTTTTGTTCGTTCATTACCCCAATCACCGAAATGGACTAGTTGGTTTGTTCATTTGTTTGATTATGGAGCATTGCTGATTGGTATTTAGGGTAGATTTGATGGCGGACTCGTTCATCAATCGTTCGTATTCACTTAATATTTGCCCTCACAGCCCGGAACCCTATTACTGAAAACAGCCAGGCCTTCGTTCCGCCGTTGCTATCCCGTCGGTATCGGCTGATCCGGGCTTGCGTCCCAAGGTTGTCGCAATGGCTGATTTTCTCGAAAAGGAGCTCAGGGCTCTGGGTGCTTCAGTTGAGAGACGTCTGCCCGGGAAGCAGCCCGGCCATCCTGACCTCGACCTTCCTCCTATTCTTTTGGGTAGATACGGTAATGACGCCAAGAAGCGCACCATCTTAGTCTACGGGCACTACGATGTCCAGCCTGCTTTGAAGGAAGATGGATGGGCTACTGAGCCTTTTGACTTGACCGTAGATGAGCAAGGCAGGATGTACGGAAGAGGTAGCACCGATGATAAGGGTCCTGTGTGAGCTCCACTCGTGATCCCCATGCCTCAATTGGAGAATATGCTAATATTTATTCCCAGCCTCGGTTGGATCAATTCCATCGAGGCCCATCAGAAGTAAGCATATAATCCTTTCGATTTGTTCACAATTTTTATCGTTTGCTAACAAGCCTTAGAGCTGGCGTTGATTTCCCCGTAAACCTTTTGATGTGCTTTGAAGGAATGGAAGAATACGGTTCCGAAGGTCTCGACGACGTAATTAAAGAGGAGGCGAGTAAATTCTTCAAGGACGCAGAGGCTGTGTGCATTTCCGACAACTATTGGCTTGGAACCAAGAAACCATGTTTGACATACGGTCTTCGAGGATGCTCGTACTACTCGCTTGCTGTTTCGGGACCTGGTCAAGATCTGCACTCCGGTGTCTTTGGCGGGACGGTTACTGAGCCCATGACAGACCTTGTTAGGTTGCTCGCAACTCTCGTTGGTAATAAGGGAAAAATCCACATTCCCGGCTTGAACGAACTCGTTGCTCCTTTGACCGACGAGGAGAAGGAGCTATACAAGGATATCAGTTTTGAGATGTCAGATCTGTATCAGAGTCTTGGTAGCGAAACGAGCATCTACCTGAATAAGGAGGATACCCTGATGGCCAGGTAAGTTGAAGAAGCCGGAGGTTCTGTTATTCGTGAGTTAGCATATCTAACTGTAGTATATAGATGGCGTTTCCCAGCCCTTTCCATCCATGGTATTGAAGGAGCATACTCGGCACCTGGAGCAAAGACCGTCATCCCCGCCAAGGTTATCGGAAAGTTCTCCATCCGTACAGTTCCTAACATGGAGCCCGATAAGGTAGATGAGCTAGTCTTTAAGTTTGTAGATGCCGAATGGAAGAAGCTTGGCTCCAATAACACCATGAAGTGCGAGCTTCAGCATTCTGGCAATTGGTGGGTTGCGAGCCCAAAGCACTGGAACTTCTCTGCTGCTGGTAAAGCCGTTGAGAAGGTTTTCGGTGTCAAGCCAGACTTTACGCGCGAGGGTGGTAGTATCCCTGTGACATTGACCTTTGAGCAAGCTACTGGGAAGAACGTCCTGCTGCTTCCCATGGGCAGCAGCACTGACGCCGCCCATTCTATCAACGGTGAATTTCCTGTCACTTTGCGCTGAACGTGCCATACTAATTTAGCATAGAAAAACTTGACAAGAGGAATTACATCGAGGGAACCAAACTTCTGGGGGCATATCTTCATTACGTCGCGGAGGAGGAACAGGTCTAGCTGAGCCCCTGGAAATCTCCCTTTTTCATGGCTTCCTATTTCTTAAAAAAATTATACCAATAACCTACAACTTGCTGAGCGCGAGTCAAGGTAGTGTTAGCATCAAAGCACGGTCGCAGTCGCCCGTCAATAGCCTTCGAGGAGCTTCATTATTTACCTTCAGTTTGTGAACCGAGTGATTTCATATGACTCAATGGTTCAGATCGCCCCACATGTGCCACCGTATATTCTTGCAGGAAATGAAAGACTACTCGAGTATATGCCCTAACACCGATCGCCACTGAAATCCCAACAGCTAGCCCGCTCTTTTCACTAATAATGCGTATTCATTTGGTGCCGAACCTTCCTTCGGCCCAATGGCCCTGCTGGGGTTCCAGCTCTGATCATGTAAACGGCGAGGGGTCCGAAGTCCAGTAGCCCGAATACCGTACGCTCGCTGTTTACATAATCGGAGCAGGAACCTTGCACGGCCACCGTATAGTATCATACCAAGAAGCGCCATGACAGCACAGGGATCTCCAGCGCTCCAACAAAGAGTAAGTTACCGGTAGTATATACGGGTACGGAAGTGCCCTACGATCAACACGGCGTTGAACACATGAAAACCCACGAACAGATTTACCCCCCATCTGCAGACTCATCTTGGCGCATCAACGTCGTACCCTAGCACCCTACGAAGTAACTGTCGCCGGTGTGGCCCGGTGACTGAGTTTACTTTACCCCCTCTCCACAGCTGGCGTTTAATCATTGTCCAATGCCTGCACCTCACCACACCCGGTGGTACAAGAACCCTCAAGCTGCGAAATTGTATCCCTTGACACCACGCGTGCAGTCTCCTCTCCGCGGCAGGGTAGTTGTCATATTGCCCGCTTACGGTGCTCTCGCGGTGCTCATACCGTTTCGGAAGGGGTACTGTACACAGGCTCTCACTCGAGATTGTGGCTTTGAGGCATGGTAGCCTTGGTAGGGCAGGATTATAGTAGGGAGGGGGACAGAGGGGGGGAGTGGAAAAAACCCTTTCTTTGTATCATACGATTGTGTGAAAGCGGATAGGGATGGACCGGTCTAAGTACAGTGCAGTGAGTCGAGCAAGCACCGGTACGCTTTACAAGCGGGAAGCGAGAGGTGGGGTGGTTTGGGACGTTTCTCTACCGATACCGGGATGACGGTGGTGGAATTGCGGGTATGTATCATATAGATTGGTACTATGATACTTGCGCCTTGCAAGAGTTTCCAGAAATGTGAGATTAGGCTTGGCACTTTTTATCAAGCAGGAGGTCTCTCTCACCTGAGTCAGCACCAAGCCAAACTCCGCACTTCCGGAAACCTTTTTGGCAACGGGCAAGTACCGGTACGTGTACTTGTACTATACCGGTACTCGTACTCGAGTACGGTACGACACCGCATGCACTGGCGAGAACCGGTAGGCGCAAGTACTTCTACGGGTACACAAGCACTCTCAAATACCAGTAAGATGTAAGATTTTCATTATTATCGCTCTGTCTCAAAATCGCAATAAAACGCCATACCCCGACTTTGCGTAGCCAGGACCAAACCACTCGGTCCTCTCTCACTTTGGCGCAATCGTGAGTTTCACGTCAGCCGCTTCTTATTTCAACGTAAAAGCGTCTGCCGGCTCATTAATGCGGTATTAGGTGAGTAAGTATGACATGCCGTGGGTTACGGTGGGTAGTCTACATCTACAATTGTTGACAAATTTAATTTTTTTTGCCCCCCCCCCCTCATCCCCAGTTCTAGCAGAGTATAGTACAGTCGTGGGGGGGGGGTTCGCGTGATGGGTGGATGGTTGCAGGGCAATTAAAGTTAGAGTTGACCGTCGCTTTAATCGTATTCTTTCGATCATCATACAAGTATACACGCACCTCGCCACGCTGAACTGCAATGTACGAGTAGGGGCCCGGACACCTTGCCATAGTACCGGTAAATGGGCAGGCTCAGAGGGGGAACCCGAATCTCCTACCGTACCGCACACAAAAAGATACGGTGCAAAGTGCCTAAAGGCGGGTCCTCCGATGGAACAAGAATTCCATTGCAACCGATCGGAGTTGAGCCAAGACTCAACAAATATTGTCTATTGATACATCTCCGGACAACAAATAGTGAGCGGGAAGTGAATGTATTACCTATTCTTCAAAACATCATATATCATATATACTGTTGTGAGAGGTATGAATATTCATGATTCTCAACACTATGCAGCAAACAGAGTTTGCACCACCTCCATACATAGAACTATAAACATTTTCACATGATATCACAGTTTGTCATTGATTCTCCACCGTTGTTTTCAGCATGACTATCCGTACATTTCATCCCTTGTTTCACTCTCACCAAAAAATCGCGTTTTTGACCTCTAATTTCATTCCAGAGAAACCTCGAATTCAAATAAAAAAACCACTGGACTCTTCTTCACAGAATCGTCTACCTCCCTGTTGTTTTTTTGCTTCCAAATTCATTGTTGTTAGTGACTAATTAGACATCGGGTTTTGGTGGTTTGGAGGACCCGGTTTGGTTCTCTTTGCACTATACTGTGCCTGGGCTGGATTCGAATGCAGTGCTCTACTGTATCATACCAACCCCCTCCTGCGGCCTTGTTGTCCTTTGGGCGGTCCAAGACAGTCAGGCACACTAAGCCTTGCCGAGAATGCTAAATTAGAAAGACTGAAATCCGATTTTCTGACCAAGGTCGGCTACCGGTAATTTATCTGTTGTCAGATCTAGCCTTTGCGTGCCTGACGACGGATTTTGGCCGTTTCAGGATGCCCAAGGGATACAATTCTCGGGCCATTGCCTTTCTCCTCCTCGTCTCACCCGCTGCTTTGCCCCCTTTCACCGCCTTCATTTTTACTCCCCGGGTACGATATCTTTCGAGAACGATCGCGATCGTGATCGCAGGCCGCTGTCACCGACCAAACATCTTGTCCGGGGGGAAGGACACCAACTGCGCCTCGTTCGTAGTGTCGCGATATCCTACGGTACCGTAGTTCGTAGATGAAAAGATAGTGCAATGGTTGGGGTTCTATTTCATTGTCACCGTCCACGGGGGCGTGAAAACGTGGCTGGTTAGCACAGAAGGGATGGTTGCCCTACCCGATCATATGCAGGAGCCGATTTGTTTATGCATCGTTTTGGTAGAGTGATTTATCAAACAGTCAAGGTGGTGGAGTGGTTAACACGTTCGCCTGCTATTACCTCTGGTAAGTTGCTCAGCGGATGCCTTCGGGCGCGCAGGTTCGAATCCTGTCCTTGACGCACCTTTTTTTTTTCTTTCCCTTTCTTTTTTGTCTTCGCACCTGGGTTTGGGCATTGTTTGTCCCCTGCTTGGATGAATGTGGGTGGGCCACATCACAATACGGCAGTCGATGTGCGGTTGATACCTCCTGTCTTACCTACCGCACGTTTTTATTGCGGAGGGGGTGCGAAATGCTTTGTTTTGTCGGCGGCGGGGGGAGGCAAAGGCAACGAATGTAAAGTACCGCACCATACCGGCACTGGTATTATAGTCTACTCGTACATAGGTAGGTAGGTAGGTGATGATGAAGTTTACTCATAAATATCATAACGCTTCTCCTCCAATCCATCGACCCGGATCGCCGGTACCACAACTCTATCTCGAGATATCATACCGTACCGCTTGTCTACGGGTATCGTATCTGTTTTATTCTGGAAGGGTAGGTATGGTATCGTACGGTAGTATCCGCCCGTTGAACCCGTACGAGCACGGTGCCGGTGCTCGTACAGTGGTAAGGAAGCGGTCATGGGTATGATACCAGTGACGACGGTAGCAGATCCAGGGAATGATTTTCGTAACTACAAATGTACTGCACTCTTACCGCGAAAGCAAGATTCGTAGATAGGGTAGCCATTCATTCCATTTTCTCATTACCCCCCCACCCAACAGCAGCAAGAATAATCAATCCCCTAGAGTACAGTACGAGTACGAGTACAGTACTCCGATATCGTACAATAACCTACCATGACGTCGCGTACATTACCTTTTTATCTCACAGTGGAGAGAGAGAGAGAGAGATCTTATCACGTCGTACCGTACTTACCGTGCACCAGTTCTGCCCGCGAAAGCTCGCTTTACTTGCTTGCTTGCACTGGTACTCGGGTACTGGTACACACTGCGCGGCGTTGGCGATATTATGAGTATTTACCCCCCCTCCCCTCCCCGTTCCCTTCTGAGCGGAACCGACGCAAGCCCTTCCCGAACGAAGAGGAAGCAGAAGCGTCGGTCACAAGCCACAACTACTCGTACACAAAATCGGACCGGCAAATCTACTATGATACGATAACTCGAGTTACGATACTATACTTCGGCCAGTCGGTTCGATCTGTCGATATCCACCCCGCCGCATTCCCTTCGCTCACTCGCGCGATAGAATATCGCACTGTACGAGTACCATACATCCAATAGCTGGGCAAACACGTCAGCTATCGTACCGTACTCAAGTATAGTACATACAGTAGGGCTAAGACGATAGAATACCGTATCGTAGCCCGTCAATCATACTTTGTATGATACCCCCTTTCTCCCTTTCTCCCCGCACCACCGGATCGCATTCTAAATTACTTGGACCACCGTACGCTGCTATCATAGCTAACTCACGAGACTGAAGTTCAAGCCGCTGATAGGGTGTTGGTGTGATTGGTGTTTCACGGCACCCTATCAGAACAAGGGGGAGGAGGAGGCTCATTGGTGTGACCCCGCACCGGCTGCAGTAGTATTCTTTGGTAGCCTGGTGGTGTTGCAAGGCTGGTTGCTTGGCTTTATGTAATGGGCGGGTTGGTTGGTTGGCGGTGGTCGACGGTCGGGGTGGCTTGTGGAGGGGGGGTTGGGGTTTCTTTGGGTTTGGTTAACTTATAGCGGGTGGGGTGGGGTGAGGAATCTATTTTAATAGCGGTATTGTCTTTTTTTTTTTTCTTTTCGTTTTTTTTGTTTTCAGTCGGGGGACTTTCAATTGTCTAGACTTCTTCTCCTTCCCTCCCCTTCCCTCCCCTTTTGCCTCTCGGTCAGTCTGTTGGTCGTCCGGCGGGCATTATGGGGGTTAGTTGTATGACACCGCAAGCTTAGTTGTATGCGAGGAATGAGAGGAGTTTTTTCTTTCTTTCTTTTTTCATTACTTTACTAGAGTACCGGTACGGTATGGTCATGCAGATTTGTATTGTATCTACCGATGGATGGTGTGATGTGAACGCTTGTGCTTATAATAGGGGTTGTTATCATATCGTGGGCTTCCTTCTTCCCTTCCCTCCCTCTCTCTTTTTGACTACAGCGCAGAGTGGCACAGATCGTGGGGATGCTTGTGGTGAAATAGATTCGTCAAACGGATTCTGCCGGTGCTGGCCGGTGCTGGCGGAGGTGGAGGAGAGGGGAGGGAGGGGAGAAGTCTGCAGTTGTGATAAAAGTCACCACCGAATGAAATGGCGTCTTCGGAGCAGGAAGGTGTCGGTTAAATCCCGGACGATTGAATTCATTGGAGGAAGGAGGGGAGGGTCAGCGTTCCGACTTCCGGGCTAAGTTAGTCCTATTTCCTTTGTTCAAGCCTTCTCACGGGCTCAAAGCGCGACCGCCGAAACTGGAAGCTGGGTCTAAGATGAGATCATACGTCATCCGCCACACCCTTTTCCTTTTTGTTTATTTTCTCTCCCTCTCCGTCTCTTTCCTTCCTTTTTTCCCTTCCTCTTTTCCTTCCACTGAGTGGTGCGTAGAGGGAAAAGAGCCGAGAAGGTTCACACAATCTCTCACAATTTCTCACCAACGCTTTGCCAGAGGAGGAAAATATTTGGGCAAATCGAGGGCACCCCAAATTTTTTAGTAACCTAATGTGTGGCTCTCTCTCTCTCTCTGTGTGTCTGCGGTGATTGCTGCTGTTGCCCCCCCCCCCGGCAGCTTTGCCCAGCCTAGCTAGCATAAGTACTAGTACAGTACAAGTACAGTACGGTACTCGTACTTGTACGATAGGAAAGTCGTTAATGTTGACTGATGATGCTTGCTGTTCCCTACAACGTCACCGTCATTCTTTCTCATACCCCTCCCTCCTCTACAATCTACAATCAGCGGTGCACCATACGTACCGATCATCTACGGTACTCGAGTAGTCAGTAACAATACATTTTCTGCCCCATTTTTCCTTTTTTTTTTACCTCCCCTGCAAGGCCGCAGCACTTGCCCGCTCCTCTTTGAAATCGTCTTTGTTATCCCCCTCTGAATTTCTCGCGAGTACAGGTACGGTGCAACGATACAGTATCATATCATACTGGTACTCGTACCTCGTGCCGTCGACTAAAACAGCTCTCGCGCCGTCTCTCTGCTTAGATGGGAAAATCCTACCACTCAGGTCACAAGTAGATACCACAAATTATCTCTTTCCTTGTCCAAAGAACTGCTGGTACCGTGCCTCATTCACTCCCAGTTCGTTATTGTCATCTGTGCGCGCTCTGTCGCTTAATTGCTGGGTGCGGATTTGCTGTCTGATCTTGGCTCCGTGACGGTAGTTTTTTCTTTCTTTTCTTTCTTTTCTTTTTTCCCCTTCACATCATTTTCCCTTATTTTCTGCTCCTCACGATTGTAGTATCACCAATTTTCTCTCCAAACCTTTTATCTCGATCTGATCTTTTTTGTTGTATCTTCCTCTCAAGTATTCATTTTAAGGAAAGTCGAATCGGGATTATACCGGTATTGCAGGGCTGGACGAATAAGGAAAAGAGTGTCAAAGAGAATCGGGAGATAGAGAATCGGGAGAACGGGAGAAAGGGAGAAAAAAGAAGTAGTGGAGAAAGTGAAGAGGTTAAGAGAGAGGGGGGAAGAAGAAGAATAAGAAGGAGAAGAAGGATAATAACGTGAGACAAGCGTTGGCGGGCTGCTGTGCGAGACAGCTTCTTGCTTGCTTGGTGGTCCGGTTGGGAGGGGGTTCTTTTTTTTTTTTCGGTTGCTCTGCTACTGTTGTTGCTCCTGCTTGGCCTCTTCTGCCCCGAAGGGAATATTCAGGGAGGAGAAAAGGAGGCACACGAACTTTGTTTCGAAAGCGCCCACTACGTCGCCTTC